CGTCCGTCTCTACGGCACAGGCATCATCAGCACGGGCAAGAAATCATGCTGCTCGCTCTGGTAATGTTTTTCTCGCTCCCGCTTTATGAAACAAATCGTTGGCGAGAGACTGTTGGGACCACACGTCAAAACTAGCATGATCTGTGATTGCTTGAACTGCCATTAGACTGTACTTGAAAGCTCCGCAAAAGCGTCGTCGGGCGACCGTCGTAGGGACGGCGCCCAGGACAGGCCCTCGGCTGGCCCTCGGTTCCGCCGCACGCGAATCTTTCTCACTCTGCGGAGAGAGCCATACATTTTGAAAATACACTCTTCTCAAATAACGAAATAAAGCCGGGTGGAGCATAGTGAGAGTCAAGCATAGCTTTGCAAGCACACGGTACAAGACAAAGTTTGAAACAGCGGCGCACTTCACAGAAACAAAAGAAACTTCCTCACCTTCGCTTGCACCAGTCCTCCATGACTGTCCGCCACTTGCGACGCTACGTCTCACAGCTCTCAATAACCGACAGCTATTATTGAACACGGTATTCGTAAGTAAGCTATCTAAAATGTCCGCTAAAACTGCTAAAAGGTAAAAAGGAAGCGATGCTCGAACCCTCTGGAACTCCAACGGCGGCCGAACGGAAGCTGATTGCAATAGCGATGGTCTTGCGCAGTTCTCAAAAGTCTCTTCTTTTTGTTCTTTGTGTTTTTAAAGACAAAACTAAGCAAATCAATATAATAATAATAACAATGTCACTTTGTTATATTCGTAAAAATTTAACAAAACGTTTAGTCTATCTTAGGTTTTATCTAAACTCTCGGTTTTCTTTTTCAGTGTAAAACCGAAACCATCTCAAGCAATTTCTCCCTTGTCGCTAAGGCTATTTCGATTCATCAGCGCATGCTTGCACCGCTGGGATTTAGGCTTTTCTGGAAGGATCGGCTCTCGCGCCACATAAATAATGAGGGCAACCTCGTGTTTTGAAACAATGAGCGTGCACGTTTTTTTGTTTTTTTTTTGACGAGAGAAAGACACGTTAAATTCACGTCGATTTTTTGTAGTGTGGAACTCTCGATCGACGGTGTTGTTCGTTGTTACAATTGTCAATCTCTTTTCACGTGAATTGAGATGTCTTAGAGCTTTGCAAGATAGATCTACACCATCAAACACTTTCGGTGAAAGCTTGAGGTTGTTACATGAAGGCGCCGATTTCTCCAGCCAATTACAGAGCGAGCTTCCATTCATAACACCACTTCGCTTACGCGGCTCAGAAGTTGATTGGCGCTGCATGCGACTATGCAAGGTGGAGCATCCCATGTCCCCATTATTAGCCGTGGTTTCTTTTGCCTCCCGTCCTTTTGATTGCTGTGGATGCAGATAGATATCTAAAACAGCGTATAGTGCGCTGAGACCTGCATTACCAAAACACCGGATTATCCTGCAAACGTAATTTGTCTACTAGCCTATGAGGCAGCACGCAAGTGGCGGTGCACTTTGAAAGCAAAGTCATGTGCATGCTTTTTCATCAGCAGCATTAAACACTTGGTGCGATTGCCCTCGATCGCCTAGCTTCCGAATAGTGCAAACAGTTTTTAGAGTAAACTTTTATTCTTCAATAAAGGTAAGAAATACAGCTCAGGGAAAATAAAAGCTATCTTTGCAATAAAAGTAGACTTGTCAATTGCTAAATTTATAGAAATGACTAGCTAAAATAATTATTGACAAGTTAGATAATGCTATTTTCCGTGGCGTACAATATTGCTAATTTTTCTATTTGCGCTTTTTTTAGGCGTAAGTCCATGTTGCATTTGCGACGTAAGTATGCTATGACAGTGCCGGTCGTTTCCCCGGGGAACTTTTGGACCACGTGGTATGCAGTGAAATGAGAAATGAAGCATCCCTTTGGTCACATTATGTCAGCTATACCCAGTGATATTTTTTAATCAACTGGTTTCAGGAAAATCGGGGGCTCACTGTCACGTTGATGCACTCTTCATGTGTGTCGTGCGACTCGGCGGATATTACATGGGTGAATAACCATGGCAACATTTTTTTAAGCAATTAAAATCCGTAAATTTACGTTTCTTTATTATTGCTGTTTTAGAGGCAGTCGTTATTAGAGCCTAACACAATCAAAACTATTCACGAAACAGCAAGGGGCTTTAAGATATTTATTTATCAATTTTCGCACTTTTTTCCCTCGATTCAAGAACCACGCACGGCAGGGGTGGGCAAAGTGGAGAGTGATTTAGCGATTTTGACATGGCATATCGGTGATGGCATGTTTGTTTGTGTTAGCGAGAACTTCTCATACTGAAGTTTTATGCATTATTTATTTTCTAGTGAAGTTACAGCCCGCATAAAGTGCTGTCGCATTCAGCATGGCATGAACGAAGTTGCACACTTTTGACAGCATGCCTTTGGAGGATGCTCCAGCATCATACTTCCAACGGTTCGACTGAAGGTAATACGTAAGAATAGCTTCCTGCGCTCTGTCCAGCGCGCTGTTTTTAATCAGGCGACGAAAGTTAGAGTTTTAGCTATGAATAACCCAAAACTCGTCACCTTTTCGCAAATTGTTTCAGTTGGGCTAAAGTTTATTCATAGCCCCTTTAAAATTGAAGATTCAACATGGTCAATTACACTGTCAATTAAGAAAGCTAATTAGACAACGTACTGTGACGTTTATTTATTCATCTAATGTCCGCCGAGCCCCACAAATATCCTGTGAAAACGGCATCGGCATCTTTCCCGTTTTTAGTGTGTTGATGTTAAAAATCGCAATATATATATATATATATATATATATATATATATATATATATATATATATAGATGGTAAGAAGGTTCAACGGGCCGGTTGGACGTAAAACGAAAGTGGAGGAGATCCAGGAAAGGCCTTTCTTTACTGCACCGACGTTTCAAGCGGGGACCGCTTTTCTTCAGGGTGAATGGTTGTGAAATGTCCTCTTCTTCTTGTTGATGTTCGTGTGGAAGAGGAAGAGTTACTATGAAGGGTATTAAAAATATTCAGAACAGGAGCAAAAAAAATTATCGTAAATCTTTGAAATTAGTAATTATAAACAATGTTAATCCAATTCAATAAAACGAAATAAATTGATTTGTAGTATTTGGCACAGTCTTTGTTACAGCTCCTGAGCACAATCACCCCCGAGCAACCGGAGCGCACACAAAAGTAGCAATGAGGATGTGTTCGGGATTAGCACCGCTTCGGGAGCGGAGATCTAGACCACGCAAGGGTGCCGTGGCGGTTTTTTATGAAGTATTTATGTCATATTTGAATGATGCTTACGCGCCCAAGAATTTAACGCAGCGGAAGGATTACCACGGAACGCACGCTCACGAGGATGTTCACGAGAGGCGTGGAACGAGCTCACGATGGCAGGCGCCTTTGGTGCAACAATGTCATCGACACGCTCGGCTAGTACAGTCCGTGCAAAACCAAAATAATTGTGTGGCCTCGGCCCTACACACAGCGTGGCAGCCAAGTGAGCACGCCTGGACTTGCATTAATACCACAAGCAACCGAATTGAATTTGTGAATGAAAAAAGCCTCCTTCAACTCTCTGTCGTGATCAGAGCTAAATCCAGATTCCAGAAGGATGACACGTATTTTTTCAATGCTATGCTCTTTAAGATGCCTGTGTTTTGAGAAGGGGAGCGTGGGTAAGGACTTGATATGAGACTTGTGATTGTTGAAGCGCAACCGAAATGAAGTACTGGTTTGTCCTATATAATCCATATTACATAGTTTACAGCGTAAAAGATAAATAACGTTACGCGTACCGCAGTTGAGGTTACCAGTGATTTTGAAAGAAAAGCCAGAGTTCGCGCTAGTGACAAGATTGGTGGTTTCGACATATTCACAAATTTCACACCTGGGCGTCTGGCAAGGTCTACAACCAGAAACGTCAGAAGTTCTATTTTTCGAGTACACCAATATGTCCTTAAGGTTTCTACCTCGTCGATATACCACGCGTGGTGATACCGGAAAAAGGGTGCGTAATTTATCGCTTTGCTGCAAAATACTGTGATGTTTCCTGAGAATATTGTTTAAATTTGGAAGGCGGGCTGAATATGTAACCACCAGGTTGGCGTGCTCGTTTTGTGACATTTTGGGTTGGGGTTGATTGATAACTTGCTCTCGGTCGAGAGCACGTGCTTTTTCAATGGCTTTATCGACAATGGCTGGTGGATAATTCTGCTTGGATAGCACGAGTTTCAGATTGCTGGCGTTGCGTTCGAATTCATCTAAACTGGAGCATATTCTCCGGAATCTGTGAGCTTGAGAATAGGGAATACTTGTTTTGCAATGTTTAGGGTGGGAGCTCTTGAAGTGCAGGTACTGTTGACGGTCCGTCGACTTCCTGAAGAGTTTTGTTGTAAGAGCATTCCCGCTGATCTCGACTGTTACGTCAAGAAAATCAATGCTCGTTTTAGAATAACTGTGCGAAAACGTAATACTGGGGTGGAGACCGTTGAAATCCTGAATGAAGTCTGTGAGTGCTGACTCCCCGTGTGCCCATACCATAAATATATCATCGATGTATCGCTTATAAACCAGAGGTTGCAGAGAGCGACTAGACAAGAAGCGTGACTCTAAATCGGCCATAAAAAGATTTGCATAGTTAGGGGCCATCTTTGTGCCCATTGCAGTTCCCCGAGTCTGTAGAAAGTGTCGTCCTTCGAATTCAAAGTTGTTGTGTTCTAAAACTAACCTGAGAAGTGTTGCGAGGACGTCGTTGTTGACACGAATTGTTGGAGGGTCATTGTTATACGCCTTGATTACTGCTTCGATGCCATCCTGGTGAGGGATGTTTGTATATAAGGACGCAACATCCATGGTGACCAGGATTGCGTCAGTAGGAATTACAAGTTCTGTTATTTCTCGAAGAAAGTGATTTGTGTCCTTTATGTATGATGGCATCGTAGGGGGAAGGTTCATAATAAGGAAATTGACAAAGCTAGAAATTTTCTCTGTCACCGTGTCTATTCCGGATACAATTGGTCGTCCTGGATTTCCTTGTTTGTGAATTTTAGGTAATGTGTAAAAGCGGCCAGCCTTTGGATAGGCCGGCTTCATTGCTTTATGCATCTCCTCCGAAATGTCTCCATTATCCAGCATTAAGTCCAAAGTGTCCGTTATTAGTTTAGTGAATTTTTTGGTCGGATCTGCTTGAAGTTCTTTGTAAAATTGTTGGTTCATTAGCTGGCGAAATCCTTCATCTAGATAGTCTTGCTTATTCATAAAAACTATGGCTCCTCCTTTGTCAGCAGGTTTAATAATAATATCATCTCTTGAGCTGAGTTCACGCATAGCGATGCGTTCAGCAGGAGTGAGATTGTGACGTAGACATTTTCGTTGTTGATAGTTTCTGATCACATCACGCTGTACCGATTCAATGTACAAATCAAGGTACTTGTCGCGTTGCTCTTTTGGAGTCCATGACTTATTCGAAGTATTAGGAATGCGCTCTCTGGTGTCTTGCGGATGATCGTGGAAATACTCTCTGAGTCTCAGGTTTCTTGCGAAGTTATCGAGGTCCTTATATATTTGGAATTCATTGTATTCTCCTGACGTGGGGCAGAAGCTGAGGCCTCTGGAACACAATGAGAGTTCTGTGGCGGATAGAATAACACTGGACAAGTTTATAATATTCAGCGATTGGATGATCATTCCTCCGGTAGATGAGCACTCATTAGGTGCAACTTGTGTGCATCGTTGTGGTTGGTTCGAGGTAGTGAGTTGTGAACGGGGTTGAATGTTAGTATGGTCATCTGAGATATGGATCATGTCCGTACGGCGAGTGACAGTGTTAGAAGGAGCAGCCGATAATCCTACCACATTGTCGCGTGCCAACTTTTTATTTTTTGTTACGTTAATTTCATTTAGTCTTTTTCGCTCGTATTCTTGAAGCGCGTTTTTCTCGGTGTGAGATAATAATTTGCTGGACTTGTAACTATACTCTGTGACGGCAAGGTCACCGGCGCGTCGTTCACTATGTTTGAGAATAACATTAACTAAATCCAGAGATGCTCTTTTTAAGACGTTATTCCACTCATTCATTTCTCCTTCGTTAAGGGTATTCATGGAAGGAGTCAAATGTAAGCTTAGTCCCCTAGGCGCGGTGCCACAATTAAGATACCTACGGAGTGTTTGAGCATGAAGGTGAAATCGTATTCTCTTATCTATAATTTTGCGTGCCTCCATAAAACATCTTGAATGATGTTGCTCGGGGGTGATAGTACCTGTTGTCCCAGCGAGTCAGAACGAACTCCGCAGATTGTAGGGGTGACGGGGCGTCGGGTCAGTTGTCGGAGCAGAAGGGATTCCCGACTTAGGCTGGGATGAAGATGGAGGCAGGCTGGGAAATTCTTCCGAAGATAGGGCAACGCATGGACCCGAAGGAGCCCGCGAAGTGGAAGGAAGAGGGCTCTGCGCTGGAGCACTCATGGGCTCAGACTCGATTACCCTGGCCGGTGTCCGGGGACCAGGCTCCGGGATACTTGGAGCCAGATCGTCGGGGTTCCTTCGCGCGGCCGAGGCACTGGTAGATGAAGATTCGGGTAATATGCATTGTGCCCGCAGAGCGTCAGGGCATCTTCGAAGAGTTGTAGCCCTCACGGCCGCAGACACAAGACCAGCGGGCTGTGCCTGAAGAGCGCCAGGGCTTGTTTGCGTTGCTGGGGGAGAACCAGATGGATTGAAGTGACTTCTCGAGCTAGGCGAAGCAGCAGTTGAAAACCTGTCAAGCCAGTGAGAGGTCCGGTTGGTTCTGCCATATCCAAGCACAGCCTTGAAGTGGTCCGACAGCAGTGCGACGCCTTCAAAACTAGTGTGAACCCCATCGGCCGCAAGAAAGCGCCATGGCGGAAGTTGGTGAAAACCGTGGTCTATGAAGTACACTCTCGCGAGATCTTCATAGCATAGTCTCTTCATCTCCTGGTTGAAGTTACGAGCTTCGTAGTTAAAGCGGCGAACGAAGCTTCTATTCATGTTGCCCCTGCGGCGATTGGTGTGGCGAGGAAGCACGAGGCTCACGTGAATGCTTCGTAGTTCAGGGCGACTTCGTCCAGCAAATTATTATCTCACACCGAGAAAAACGCGCTTGAAGAATACGAGCGAAAAAGACTAAATGAAATTAACGTAACAAAAAATAAAAAGTTGGCACGCGACAATGTGGTAGGATTATCGGCTGCTCCTTCTAACACTGTCACTCGCCGTACGGACATGATCCATATCTCAGATGACCATACTAACATTCAACCCCGTTCACAACTCACTACCTCGAACCAACCACAACAATGCACACAAGTTGCACCTAATGAGTGCTCATCTACCGGAGGAATGATCATCCAATCGCTGAATATTATAAACTTGTCCAGTGTTATTCTATCCGCCACAGAACTCTCATTGTGTTCCAGAGGCCTCAGCTTCTGCCCCACGTCAGGAGAATACAATGAATTCCAAATATATAAGGACCTCGATAACTTCGCAAGAAACCTGAGACTCAGAGAGTATTTCCACGATCATCCGCAAGACACCAGAGAGCGCATTCCTAATACTTCGGATAAGTCATGGACTCCAAAAGAGCAACGCGACAAGTACCTTGATTTGTACATTGAATCGGTACAGCGTGATGTGATCAGAAACTATCAACAACGAAAATGTCTACGTCACAATCTCACTCCTGCTGAACGCATCGCTATGCGTGAACTCAGCTCAAGAGATGATATTATTATTAAACCTGCTGACAAAGGAGGAGCCATAGTTTTTATGAATAAGCAAGACTATCTAGATGAAGGATTTCGCCAGCTAATGAACCAACAATTTTACAAAGAACTTCAAGCAGATCCGACCAAAAAATTCACTAAACTAATAACGGACACTTTGGACTTAATGCTGGATAATGGAGACATTTCGGAGGAGATGCATAAAGCAATGAAGCCGGCCTATCCAAAGGCTGGCCGCTTTTACACATTACCTAAAATTCACAAACAAGGAAATCCAGGACGACCAATTGTATCCGGAATAGACACGGTGACAGAGAAAATTTCTAGCTTTGTCAATTTCCTTATTATGAACCTTCCCCCTACGATGCCATCATACATAAAGGACACAAATCACTTTCTTCGAGAAATAACAGAACTTGTAATTCCTACTGACGCAATCCTGGTCACCATGGATGTTGCGTCCTTATATACAAACATCCCTCACCAGGATGGCATCGAAGCAGTAATCAAGGCGTATAACAATGACCCTCCAACAATTCGTGTCAACAACGACGTCCTCGCAACACTTCTCAGGTTAGTTTTAGAACACAACAACTTTGAATTCGAAGGACGACACTTTCTACAGACTCGGGGAACTGCAATGGGCACAAAGATGGCCCCTAACTATGCAAATCTTTTTATGGCCGATTTAGAGTCACGCTTCTTGTCTAGTCGCTCTCTGCAACCTCTGGTTTATAAGCGATACATCGATGATATATTTATGGTATGGGCACACGGGGAGTCAGCACTCACAGACTTCATTCAGGATTTCAACGGTCTCCACCCCAGTATTACGTTTTCGCACAGTTATTCTAAAACGAGCATTGATTTTCTTGACGTAACAGTCGAGATCAGCGGGAATGCTCTTACAACAAAACTCTTCAGGAAGTCGACGGACCGTCAACAGTACCTGCACTTCAAGAGCTCCCACCCTAAACATTGCAAAACAAGTATTCCCTATTCTCAAGCTCACAGATTCCGGAGAATATGCTCCAGTTTAGATGAATTCGAACGCAACGCCAGCAATCTGAAACTCGTGCTATCCAAGCAGAATTATCCACCAGCCATTGTCGATAAAGCCATTGAAAAAGCACGTGCTCTCGACCGAGAGCAAGTTATCAATCAACCCCAACCCAAAATGTCACAAAACGAGCACGCCAACCTGGTGGTTACATATTCAGCCCGCCTTCCAAATTTAAACAATATTCTCAGGAAACATCACAGTATTTTGCAGCAAAGCGATAAATTACGCACCCTTTTTCCGGTATCACCACGCGTGGTATATCGACGAGGTAGAAACCTTAAGGACATATTGGTGCACTCGAAAAATAGAACTTCTGACGTTTCTGGTTGTAGACCTTGCCAGACGCCCAGGTGTGAAATTTGTGAATATGTCGAAACCACCAATCTTGTCACTAGCGCGAACTCTGGCTTTTCTTTCAAAATCACTGGTAACCTCAACTGCGGTACGCGTAACGTTATTTATCTTTTACGCTGTAAACTATGTAATATGGATTATATAGGACAAACCAGTACTTCATTTCGGTTGCGCTTCAACAATCACAAGTCTCATATCAAGTCCTTACCCACGCTCCCCTTCTCAAAACACATGCATCTTAAAAAGCATAGCATTGAAAAAATACGTGTCATCCTTCTGGAATCTGGATTTAGCTCTGATCACGACAGAGAGTTGAAGGAGGCTTTTTTCATTCACAAATTCAATTCGGTTGCTTGTGGTATTAATGCAAGTCCAGGCGTGCTCACTTGGCTGCCACGCTGTGTGTAGGGCCGAGGCCACACAATTATTTTGGTTTTGCACGGACTGTACTAGCCGAGCGTGTCGATGACATTGTTGCACCAAAGGCGCCTGCCATCGTGAGCTCGTTCCACGCCTCTCGTGAACATCCTCGTGAGCGTGCGTCCCGTGGTAATCCTTCCGCTGCGTTAAATTCTTGGGCGCGTAAGCATCATTCAAATATGACATAAATACTTCATAAAAAACCGCCACGGCACCCTTGCGTGGTCTAGATCTCCGCTCCCGAAGCGGTGCTAATCCCGAACACATCCTCATTGCTACTTTTGTGTGCGCTCCGGTTGCTCGGGGGTGATTGTGCTCAGGAGCTGTAACAAAGACTGTGCCAAATACTACAAATCAATTTATTTCGTTTTATTGAATTGGATTAACATTGTTTATAATTACTAATTTCAAAGATTTACGATAATTTTTTTGCTCCTGTTCTGAATATTTTTAATACCCTTCATAGTAACTCTTCCTTTTCCACACGAACATCAACAAGAAGAAGAGGACATTTCACAACCATTCACCCTGAAGAAAAGCGGTCCCCGCTTGAAACGTCGGTGCAGTAAAGAAAGGCCTTTCCTGGATCTCCTCCACTTTCGTTATATATATATATATATATATATATATATATATATATATATATATATATATATATATATATATATATATATATATATATATATTTATATATATATAGACAGCCGTTATCATAATTTGAGTACACCGACTTCAAGCACTGAAAGTAGACCTTTAGTATACTTAAGTGCACTTTCTTTATACTGATTTTGAACTACTTTTTACCGCGGGCACTACGATTCTACTACATGTACTAGTTTTGTACGGACGAGTATACTTTCAGTGCGGTCTTTGTACTGGAAGTATACTTTAAGTACACTTAAAGTATACAATCAGTACAAAGACCGCACTGAAAGTATACTTTTAGTATACTTCAGTACACTTCGAGTGTACTGATTTTGAACGACTTTTCGCTAAGGGTCACTCACTAAATAAGGATCGCAGGCAGTGGTGAATACGGAAGCATCTTATTATCGCTTCCTCAGCCAATGAGCTTACGGCACTGTGGATAAGAATGCGAAAGAATCAATCATCATGAAGCAAGAAACATGAACATAATAACGCTCATTCTGCGTTTTTTTCCCCTTTTCTCTCTTTAAACTCGTAGGTTACAGTCACCGAAATCCTGAGAAACGCACGGTGTCGCGTATTTTGTTTTACATTCTTACTTTGTGATTCGAGCTCCACTGTACTTTTCTGATGCATCAATCTAAAAAAGCCGAA